CGACATATCCTCAGTGTCGAAGTTCCGCTGTCGGGAGGGCGGGCTGGCTTATTCTCTTTTAGATAACCCCTGTGAAGGTAGTTTTAGTGCACACAGAGATTTTATTACCTTTGAAATAATTCGCTGCTTACAAACGCCTATTCAGTGGTGGCCAACTAAACCGAAAATGCTAATGAAACCCTGCATTCACACGTCAGTGTTGTGATTGGTCCTTGCCTCAGTAGCAACTCCCCAAAGTTATTTCAAGTAACGTGTTTTAAAGCTGAATAAAAGCACGCTGCTAATTTCTCACTAACCACTTTAAAAAGTGAAGACAACCAAGTTTAAAAATACAAGCGAAGCGCAGCTAGGAAACATGCAACTTTTATTAATTTCTAACAGTGGTACTATACGAAGTATGGAGGTACTGTTACATAAGGAAGTCTAACGCCCCATGGAAGTGGAAGGTGGTATCTGGCAAGGGTAAGTCGTACGATGACAGAATAAATTTACGTCAAGCGTCAATTTATGCTAATTATCAGGCACAGCCGGGGTGGTGCAGTAACACCTGAACATGAAGCTTGACTAGTAAGTTCGGATTACCGAAATGCACTCTTGCACGAGACAGTGAGACGGTTGACCAAGGCGAATAATTACACAGAGAGGAAGTAAAGCGCGTCAAGTGTAGTTTAGAGAAGTTTAATTAACCAGTAAAAGATTTAATAGGCCGTGCAATCACATAAGACGAAATGGAAAATTCCCGTTTTTTTCCGACTACAAAGCCGGCGTCCCCGGTCTGGGTGATAAAGGCAAAAACGTTAATAGTTTCATTCCTACATTAGACGTCATATTATCCACACCATCCTTAGCAGAGAGGTGCTGATCTATTTCTTCCTCCGTCCGTCTCGAATGTTTTTACAAATGCTACAGGGCGAAACGAACAATTTAGACTAATTCAATTGGTTGGACATAATCGACTGGGAGGTGTCAGTTTGGCTTCCGAACCCTGAGTGAGACACGGGAATAGGAAGACCTTAGGAGCACAGGGGCCCGGCGAAAAATTCTAGGTAGGGTTCCTATTCTCCTGTCCTAGCCGTTACCTTGCC